AGAAAATCAGCCTGCAAGCCACCTGAAGTGCACTCCGTGATCTTGTGCCTCCCTGATGATTCATATAAAAAAAGCGTCACCCTGTTGTCTGTGCGTACCAGAACATATTTTCCCCTTAGAACAGACTGAAAATGAAGGGTAAAAAACTGCTGTCAACTCTAGAACATTTATGAGCGCTGTGCGCAGGGCCTCCTTCCAAGTGCCATTCACTCCTCTTCTACGCCAGATTCCACCCCATTCAAGAAGACTGGCATCTGTCCTGATAACCTCCCACTGAGCAGGTGGAGGTCCCAATGGAACTCATCTGAGGAGAAATTGCTTCTGCGACCAAGGTGCTAGAGCTCGCATGCAACAATGTGTGACTCTGATCTTTGTGTATTTGTCTCGTACTGGACACAGATGCTTTTGAATAAGCCATCGTTGGAATGGCCTGAGCCAAAGCAGTGGTACTACTGTCGTCGTTGCTGTGAGCTTCCCCAAGGCCCACTTGAAGGCACCCTACAGCCCTCAGAATTGACCTTATTCTATCTGGAGTTGGAGATGCCAGCATTGTCACAGAGTTGAGAGCAAGACCTATGATCTTGGTGGTCTGGCATTGGGACAATCTTGCATTTTTCCCAATTCACAGCAATCCCTAAAGCCACAATATGGTCCAACAGATGACAAGCTTGAATGATTGTTTGTGACGCACAGCAAGTGCATTATGGCGCATTCGGGGCATGGGTCAGATATAGCCTCTTTAAGATGATCCACACCAAGACACACGAGACACTAGGTACGTTTACATGGACACTTTTTGATTCCATCGAAATGAATTCATTCTGATTGATGAATCCGAACGTAGTGTTTACATGAACGCTAAATAAAGTGATCGGGTTGATATGTGCGTTTATATGTTACAAACTTCTGATCGGATTTACTCTTTTGACTTGCGCACACTGCATGAATATACAGAGTTTCCCGCTGTTGTCGCATACTGTTTTAAAAAGCACACTTGATATTTATCTACTCTACGGGTCCTAATTGGGCGACGACCAGCACATGAACTGTTGTGCTGTGCTGCTTACTTTATAAAGCAGTAAAAGTGCCCCTCCCCGCACCCAAAACCACCGTTGTCTGTGGATGATTGTCTTAAACAAGGATTGGTGGGACGTTGTGCTGCTCCACTTCATAGACGCTGAGTGATAGGGGAGATTTATAATGACGGGACACTCATTTATGACGCTTTATTCACCAGGAAGAACAGCTCGATCCGCACGTCATAACTCTATTTTTTACATCACTGCACATGCGCAGTACTTTCCAGTTTCTGTTTTTCAATCCAATCAAGTGTTTACATGTCCTCTTGCTCGGATTACAAAAGGAATAAACCACCCCTTACAATCCAATCGAAATCTGAATCGGATCTGGCCAATTCAATCCGATTGACGTGGTTACATGTGACTTTTTTTTATTCTGATTGTGCTTCTAGTCTTATTACGATCGGATTAGTAGTGTCCATGTAAACACAGCTAGTGACAATGTCCATCCATGATATCCATTACATTAGGGCATGTAGAACATCTGAGTGTCTCCATGTTGAATCAATACTCACCTTAAATCCAAAGCGTTGGTAAATCCACTCTACGATATAATGCATATACACTGTCAAGCCAAGGCAACCAGTGCTTACAGTGCCAACCACTAATATTGGCACCCTTGGTAAATATGAGCAAAGGTGGCTGTGAAAAAAAATCTGCATCATTTATCTTTTTGATATTTCATTCAAAAAATTCACAAAATCCTAACCTATCATTGAAGTAAAACAATGTAAAGTGGGGGAAAAATCTTATGAAATAAATATTTCATATTAGCCACAATTATTGGCACCCAATTATTGCAATGTCCTTTTCCAAAGATAACAGCTCTGAGTTTTCTTCTATAATGCCTGATGAGTTTGGAGAACACCTGACAAGAGATCAGAGACCATTCATTCATACAGATGCTTCAGATTCGCAGCTCTGTTGGTGCTTCTTCTCTTCAGTTTTCCCCACTCATTTTCTATAGGGTTCAGGTCAGGGAACTGAGACAACCATGGCAGAAGTGTCCTTTTGTGCTCCGTGAGATATTTTTGTGTTGATTTTTATATTTGTTTTGGATCATTGTCCTGATGGAAGATCCAACCACGGCCTATTATAAGATTTCTAACAGAGGCAGTCAGGTTTAGATTTTTTATCTGTTGGTATTTGATAGGATCCATGATGCCAATATCTGAACAAGATATCCAGGACCTCCGGCAGAAAAATAGGCCCACAACATTAAAGATCCAGCAGTATATTTAACTGTGGGCATGGGCTACCTTTTATCCCTGTTTGCACCAAACCCATCTGGTGGGTTTGCTGCCAAAAAGCTATTTTATTTTTTTTAAGTTTCATCTGACCATAGAAGCCAGTCCCGTTCGAAGTTCCAATCATGTCTGACAACTGAATATGCTGAAGTTTGTTTTTGGATGAGTGAAGAGGATTTTTCTTGAAACCTTCGCGAACAACATGTGGTGATGTAGGGGCTGTTTGATTTTTTTTTTAGGCTTTCTGACCTCAAGACTCAACTAATCTCTGCAATTCTCCAGCTGTGATCCTTGAAGAGTCTTTGGTCACTCTAACTCTCCTCCTCAACGTGCATTAGGACGATATAGACACACATCCTCTTCCAGGCAGATTTG